TAGTGTTAGTTATTTTATTATTGTAGAATCCAGACTTGCTATTATTACAGTATTACTACATTTGATAGATATCCTTTTATAGATAGCAAAATAGTATTGGTTCAGATTTCTGGATGATAATTCCTTTATAGGGTTTGATATCACAGGGTGTAATTTTGTTGAAGTATAGATTGATTGAATTTTTTGCTGTTAGGTTTGCTATTTTAATATTTCCCATCATTCTTGGAACTTGATTTGATATCTTAAGAGTTGAGTAGAAAATGGCACAAATGCATCTTCTTGCAGTCTTACGTTTTTCTGAATATATGTTGGTTGATATACATATTATTCGTCTCAATTTTAAACTGAATATTTTGATCAATTCACTCTTTCTTAGAAGAATTTTCTTGTGACGTTCTATGATGTTTAAAGTACAATGATCTACTGGAAACAACAACTTCCATAATTTAGGAAAATGGTCTCAACTTGAAGTATATGAAAATGATGTGTTTTCATCTGCAACAATAACTACAAGAGAAGTTCAAAATACTTCAGTGTGATGATCCAGCCTCTCCTGTTCCAGACACCTATGAAATATCAAATTCTTTCCGATTCGAAGCACGATGTAATCGATGGAATGACTTCTTCATGCTGCACCTTCGAGGCTAGAAGTCAACGCGCGCCTCGAAAGATCATTTGGATCGCATTGATCCGGATTAGCCTTCCCACGATGCGGCTAAGTGCAGTCACAGATTTGTCGTACACTCTCATCAACTTCTAACACTTCCTTCTCTTCTTTTATTTTTTAATGAATCAAATCCTCAAATCTATGGTGTAGAGATTTTGATTCTTCTCATTGATTATTTAACGCAGTATCTTTGAGGTTATGCACCCTTTCGACTGGTTCTTTGTATTACTGGCTTCTGTAAATGATAAAAGTACGACTATATTTATCATGATAATAAATTAATTAATGATGAGAAATATGATACAGTTGATTGGTAGTGAAGATATTTTTGTGCTGGTGTTGAAGAGTGGTGAGATGAGATATTGGTTGCTATTGAAGATAATTCTTGAATTGTTATTAAAGATATATAAGGCTGATTGTGAGATTTGAAGATACAATACTAAAGAATATAGACTATGGTCTATTAGTAATACTAGAAAGTATAGAAAGTATTGGGTTGGCAACTAAGTTATACAATACCAATATATTAATGATATAAAGGGATATAAAAAATAAGAGATCAAGTATATCAATGCATTTGCAATAAAAATTGTATAATGATAAAGAAAATGAAAAATTTTTTCCCACATCTTCCCTAATTTGACTAGAAGTACAGATACAGTCTGATACAGCACTTAGAGCCATCCTACCACAATATGAAGAGCACAAAGCAAAAATAATGCAGACGATAACATTTTATATTCTTTTTAATTTTTGAAAATTGTGAATAAAACTAAGCTGCGATAATAAATACTATTTATTATTACATCAACGCAAGGGTATTTTTTCTATGAATTTCTAAATCTTTATGAACACTAGACTGTGATCATTTATTCTTAACATTCCAAATTAATTGTTCTCTCTTCAATTGCAAATGGAAAAATTAGTATTCTATAAGGAGTAGGAAGAATCTATTGTCGCAAATCTCCTGGCACATCCAAGGTGCACGGATTCAAGAGGCAAACGGAGAAAGGCACGCGCGGGTACGCACGCTCGGAATTGCTCAGCGAGCAATCCACCTTCTGCCCAGCCTTACATGCATCCAACAACCGCGAGCAAGACCAGGTCAGGGCAGAGCACGAAGTTACTTCAACCCTTTCACGGCCGAGGAGATGCCTCGGTTTGCGTTTACATCGTGGCAACGTTTCCAATTTGACCAAATCTTCATTCTCATTTTGGTAATATTTACTTCGGGTCCTCATTATCTTCTGAAGATACAGACTTTGGATCCTAATTCGTTTCCAACGATTCTGAAACCACAAAATATTGTTTAATATTGGATATTGGACTTCCTAATTATTATCATAACGAGATCCATGTTGTCTTCATCAAAGGAAGACAATATCCATACTTGGCAAAAATGCATAATTTTTATGAAAAATTATGAATTGATCATTTTGACTATTCTAATAATTCATTTAACCTTCTTCCCAATAAATTTCTTTGGAAAATTTGTGTGTGCCTGCCTTTTTATTTCCAACTTCCAAGAGCTTTAATAATGACCTTTTTATGTGGCGCGAAAGCAAAGATAACGAGGCACATACTGAACTCCATAAATTATATAAATAACTGCACAGGAGGAATATTTCAACGCCCACTATAGAGGCAGAGACACGGATTTTGCGTCATTCTAATGGAAACATTCGTGTCGATGTTATGGCATGTTCATTGATGAATTTCTTTCTGAATCACGACAGTAGGCGTAACCACTACTCGTAATCATCCGATAATTCGTGCAACGGCATTCTAACACCAGTTTCACAAGAGATAGATGCAACCTACTCGAGATGGATGTGCTCCTCCTGAGTAGAGACCCAGTCAGTGCTTGTATTTCGCAACTTTTTTCGCACCACTTCCCACGACCAACGGCGCGTAACTTCTTTCATATACTCTATGCCCGATAATAAATGAAGATGGTCTAGATCGATGATCTATGATACATCGGTGACGTCTACATCATTAGCATCGCAATCTTCTAAATATTATTTTACAGAGAATTCTAGAAATATTTTATGACGACGGTGGCACAGGTTATAGATCAATGATCTATAGGATCTATGATACATTACTGATGTCTGTGCGCTATTATTAGCGTTCAAACGTTTTAAATATAATATACAAAGTTATACAAAATTATAGAAATATTTAATGGTGAACCAAGATGACCTAGATTCTACATAGATGATTTTTAGGATCTATGATGAATTATTGATGTCTGTATTATTAATACTGGGATTCTATTAGTATCATCTTCTAGAATTGCAGATGTGTCTAATAAAGCATAAAGATGTTTTAGATTCTAATAGGTGGATTATATTTAGAACTTATGATATATTATTTATATATTAATTTAATATTGTGATGGCTACTGACGTGACATTAGTCCCAAGTGACTGTTATTTATTAATACACAATACACATTTATTACTGACTATGGAGAAGTGGTACGGGCATAAAAGTGACATTTTTGTTTCGAACAAGATATAACAGAAATTAAAAGGCCATTCTGCTTTTAATTGATAACATTGAAAAGCTTAGCTATCAAGCTGTAACCATATATAGTGCCACTAAACCTCTCTCCATATTTACAATAACGAGCTGAAATTATACGCCAGTGTACATGTATGGATGGTGTTGCAAAATAAAAAATATTATCGCCGTGAGTAGACCATTCGTCTTTGAAATATTTGCAATGTCCTTTTCATCCCACCTCACCCTATTACCTCCATCCTTTTACCTTTCAAATATTCGAAAGTATTAGATTTCAAATTTCCTAGAACTATATAATTTAGAATTCTTACAAACATAGTAAAAATCATGTTTTAATATCGATAATGATCTTTTATAAATTATACGCATAAAGACTAAAGATCTTCCTACGCCCTTTATCTCGATGTCCATGGAGAGTGGAAGAATAATTTTCATATCAAATTTGTTCGCTTTCTTCAGGGAGAAAGCGATCGAACGAAATTCCAAAGTGTAATGTCAAGCGTAAACTTATGAAACGCGAAGCTGAAATGGTCTCAGCGGACAATCGTCAAATTTATTTTTATTGCATCGGGGCCTGTAACATCCGCGGAAGAAGAAAAACATGGTGGCGCCAGTGTACCACCTGTTGCATAATCACGTGATCCACCGACCGCCTTAAAAGTGGAAAACTTTTTAAGATTCCACGATCGTAAAGCGAACTAATTGCTTGGCGCTGATGACGGTCGCCGACTCATGAGAAAGTTTTCTCTTCCAGCTTAATTTTTCCACGGACATCAAGGCTACCACGTTCGCTTACTAATCGCCCCACCCTTCGTTTGATGGGAAAGAGCAAATTATTTTCTAGTAGTCTCCTGTCGATCGTTTCACTTTAACTCTCTACGACTTGGAGGTTAGGATACGTTTTAACAAAATTTTGCTTTCTACATATTAATAATAATATTTTAAAGATATTCCAGGAATTTAAGATCTAGGTATGACTGATAATTGGAAGATTATAGTTACATATACTTAAAATGTATTATTTTATTATGTTTCTTTGTTCAAGACATTCAAGTAAATTCTCATGGATAGAAAAAGGAGTAGAACCTCAAATTAAAAAAAAAAATTATCAAGGAAGCAAAATTCAGTCAGAACTTTGTTGACCTGCCTTTGAAGCAACGCATCTTGGCAATAGTATATCTTCATATGGTAGCATTGGTAGCATCATTCCTGACGAGTATTTTGATGAGAAACTAGCACCTGTTCAGCCGTAATTGGCGGATTCCTCGCGTAACACCGATGTTTCATCAAATTTACCGCACGTCAGGGCAATTCGATGCGGTAGTTGCAACCATAACTACTTATATCGCTGATTACTTTGATCTTCTACTGTTTAACCAATAGACACTCCCACGGTGGAAATTTATTTCCAACCTAATTACGAGTTAAGAGACTCCAAGTTTCTGCAAAGAACATACACAGTAGAATTTCATTCATTGGAAAGAAATCTTAATTAGTGTCCAATTAAATAAATTCCTGTCTATTGAATCCACTTACCTGAAAGCAAACTGTTGTTATATAAAATTTAGTTATTAAATAATTAAATTTACTTGAAATTCAAATCAACAATTAAATTGGAATACTCAACGATTTAGACACCCCCTCTGTTTCATCTAACAGATCACAAATCTTGTCTACATCTATTTTAGGTAGCCACAGGGATCATAGAGTACCTCCAGGTTGCTTAAGTTATTATGTATTATATTTACTTAAGTTAACTATTGCTATATTCCTTTCATGAAACTCGTAGAGAACTTATAATATACTCTTTACCCCTCAATGGATTTGTATTTATAGAAAATCTGAACTGAAATTTGGTATTGAAGAAGAACAAAAATAATTGAACAAACAGAACAGATATGATACATAATACATAAGAAAAATAATTATAGCTACTTAAAATTAACATTTCAATTGGTTAGAAACGAACAACACGTAGATAGGGAGATAGTGGATGATGAACTGGATGCATGTATACGGGAGTCTCAAGAGAGAGAGGATTGTCTCACTCCTGTCACTTTAGCGATTAACGTTGCACGTTAGACGTTTTACAAGACACGGTCAGACTATTAACGAACGCTTTAATAACGTCTAATAACGTGGTGTGTAATGCTCACACGGAGATATTATTTTCAAATGTTGCAATTGCATGATACCATCCTTTCAATAGACTACAGTCTCTATCATGAAACTGATAATTCAGGTAACCTTTCTTTTTCATTTTCCTATTAATATGTAAATTAAAATTTCTCAAATTCCTTCCCAATCAATGCTGTTAGCATTCAGATAGGATGTTATTCTACTTGAATAATTTTATTTTTACCAGTCCTACTATAGTGATTAAATTGTTAGGTGACTTCTAGTGAACTGTGTCTAAACTTGCAATTGGCATATTTAGATGTCTGATTGAATCCATAACTACTTACTGACTGACTGAAATCTAATCCAAACGTAATCCAAATTTAATTCAAAGCTAATTCAAATGTAATATAAATCGGATTCAAACCTAATCCAAACCTAATTGAACTAATGCTACATAGGATGTACTTTGTCTGGATAATTGATCTTTATTGTTTTCATTACAATGATTGAATCTTTCGAGCTAGTGAGGTGTGTCTGAACTTGGAATTGGCATGTTCAGCATAACATTTAATATATGTATGTCGACCCTTGTCAAGGAGTTTAAGAGGCCATGAAAGATTGAAATTGTATGTAGGAGTCAGTATTGACATGGATGATCCTTTTACACCATTCTCAGGATTACCCTTGATATGATTTCCAGATCTGATTCATTTCTTCTTTTTATTGCCTTGTAATATATGGAGTTAAAGTTTACAAATAAGATATTTCTGAAATTAATTTCTCCAATCTTCAGATTGGTTTATTGCAAGGTATAAGAACAAGTTTAACTAAATTCTAGTAAGAACCAGTTTAAGAAAATTTCCACTGAGTATATTGTCTCTCTACTATAATCAGATCCTATAGAAACTCATACTATCTAATATAATCAACTAACATTGTCCAAACCACCACCAAAACTGAAAACTGCAATAGTTAAAAAAAGTATTTGTATACGCCCTTATTTTCTAGTGAAGCATTTTTTTACCAGGTCTAGTATTTCATTTCTGTAGTCCTGTGAAAGCACTGCTAAATAACGCAAAATCTAATACCGTTACACCAAATTAGCTAGTATACTACTATGTAGTAGATAGTATGTACAAATACTATTAGTAGATTGTTGATTTTTACGTAGTTACAGGAAATTTGCAGGTACAAAAATACATAGAATACACATATTGTGCAAAATCGTATGAAATATCTAAAGTACAATAGTCTATATAGTATTTAGTGAATCAAACCTTTTATACCTGAATTTTATACAATTTTATACCTGAATTCTTTTTAATTATAATCATAAAAATATAGCGATTAGCCAGCTACGATAAATACAACGCTATACAAATACTTTTTGCAGTCACTGTATGACAAATTTGGTGGTCGAGGTTCTTAAGTGGTTCGTAACACGGGAATGGACGGGAAGAGACGGTGTGATGGAGCACCCAGATTCTTGGCAAGCAGTAGGTCATCTGCGACTAGAACGAAGAGTTTTCACTTTCATCGTGACCGAGGGAATGCCTACTTACTTAGATGCGCAACAGACAAAGGCGTCACGGCGCGAAGAAGCCGGCTAACTATGACACGCAACTTCGACAGAGGATCGGATATTCATAACCTTCCATTGAATTCGCGCACTCGTGCGAACTCTACGTTCCACTTGGCCTATTCCTCTCGCCACCTTGATGTGAAAACGCAGCCAACATCCATAAGATTTGACCGTTACACCTGGTCGCTGGAACGCCTAATACTCATGGTCATAATTCATCTGACACATTTGGAAATCTGGTTTCCCCTTTGATGCGTTTATATGGTCAGAGGTGAATGATGGTGAACACAAGGATGTAGCTATTTATAGGAAATGTCTTCACTGAAAAATTGCTTTATATATGGTATGGCGTATAGTGGTTGGAATTCAAGTGATGATAGGTTTAATGGTGTTGTTTGATTAAATCAATGTTATAGGGAAATTGGAAGCTCTGAAAGATTTGAGGACTTACAAAGCTTTGGAGATCAGAATTTTAGGGATTCAAACGTCGAAACTCAAAATTTTAGAGAGCTAGCTATGATATCAGGAAATTCAATTTCGAAACTCTATATTTTGGAAAATGTTAGTTAATAGTTATATCGCGCTATTGTCGCGTCACAGCTCGTTATAAGCTTAATTAGGGTAATGATGGGTAGATAGTAATTATCATAATGATACTGGCAAATTATTTTCTAACTGGCGATTTCTCGATTTTAGATCTTCTCAGGAAGATTTCGTCAATTTTACACTTTCAAGTTCTACATTTAACAGATATTTCAATTTCAGGAATGTTGATTATATATTAAAAGGTATCCATTACCGATGTAATGGCAAGTACTATGAGATTTACTACGTTCTGTAATGATGCTGTCTAATGATGATCTTAAACAAGCGTGTCCCCGTTTCAACATGGTACACCATGAAAATCATCAGTTTCCTTTTTCATACACGATAATCAAGTGGGTATTTTGACATTGACATTTAACCATTAATGGTGTAACTGTTAACTTTGCAGACTAATGCATCACATAATTTATACAACTTCCATTGGATAAGTTAATCACTTTTTATAATAATTTCTAAAATATGTTATATATTGCATCCTATATTCTTATAATAATATGTTTTACACCATACAAACCTAATACTATAAATTTAATCGGGAAGATCAAGTCATTGGAAATTATCAAAATCTTTGAAATTTCTACAATACAAATCTCCATGCTGAAAAATTTTGTAGAATCCAAAAATCCTCTAAATCTCAAAACTTTGTATAGTTACGCTGTTCAACATTTACAATTTTACTTACACTCATTGCTATCTATTCTGTTATTCAATTGATACCTCTATTCAAATACCCACAACATAAATAGCATTTAAACGTCAATTAGAACAAGAAAATGAACGCAATCTTTCTTCTGAATCTGCTCGACTGTTTCATCATTGGCTCCTGTACAGTTCCTCTTTTATTCTCCTGGCCAAATCCATGAAATGAGCCCACAAGGGTTTTCCAAGCGTAGCAACAGCTCACGTGGAGCATCTCAACAACTTTAACAACCTTAGCACTCCTTTTTCTTTCTGCCATCTCATATAATAGGACATCTTCATCACGCAACTTCTTGCGCGCCCGTTTGCACTTCTGTTTTCTAACTTACCTTCTTCTTCTTCTTTTTCTTCTTCTTCTTCTTCTTCTTCTTCTTCTTCTTCACGAGTTGGATCATTCGAAAACGTTCCTGACATTTCGGTCGTCACAACCTTCCAGTCTCGCCACCCAAGATTGTGGTTCGTAGCTTGCGTGACCTGTCTTATGTAAGTGGCTGATCCAAATCTTGAAACGAACCGGGACGCTGTTGGAGAGTAAATTAAAAGGCAAAGATTAGTTGCTCGAATTGAAATCGTCATAGATGTAACGGTATTCATTGCTTAAGTTAACATTAGGAAACTGGAAGTTTCGGGACTCGACATTTTCGAGAGCATCAGAGAACTGAATGCGTTAGAAAGTGATATTTTAGGAAACTGAAGACTTTGAAATTTGAAAATTTAAGGAACTCGAAATGTTGGGAAAATTGAACTGTGGAATTCGAAACGTGAAGAGTTTGAAGCTCTGGAACTCGAATTCTTAGAGAACTCAAAAATTTGAAACTCAAAATCGTGGGGAACATTAATACTCTGGAACTCGAAATTTCCGGGAAATTAAAATCACGAATTTCTGAAATTCAAATACTAAGAAACTCGATATTTTGAGAGAATTCAGAATTTTGGAATTCGCAAGGTTTGAGGGTTCAAAAGCCTAAGATTTTCAATATTGAGAAACTCAAGGCTTTGTAAGTCGAATTTTAAGCCAAATATCATCAATTAAAGCCACTTCCGTTTTCTCGTCACCACTATACTTTGCATTCGCATTCCGATCTTGTTCGTTAATAAAACGACGTCGCGTTGAACTTTTACTTCGCCTTAAACTTTAAGCACACCACGGTGCAACCGCGCATCGGCCTCTTTGTTTATTCTCATAAAAGAGGTTAACAGAGGAATGCTATTATAGTCCTCTGGGTTATCGTTAATCAGTCTTTTTTCAGGGTAATTAAATGACTTTAGTGCCTGTTTTCTTTTTAAGTTCACTCTCCTCTGCTATAACATTTCTTTTTCTTCCCCCTTTTCTTCAGAAGGCCACGGAGGAAGTAAATACGTTTTTCTTATAAAGAATGCTTGACCTCTTTGCTGGCCATACTTTTGATCAAGCTTTTAGTATAATTTCCAACAGACTTTCTACGCCTTATGTAAAAATGAAAATATTTAATACAAGGTGTTAAAACAAATTTTAGAATTTAACCCATTCTTGAGGTTGCCACATTTTATTTATTATTTCCTTTTAGTCAGTTTGTGTAATTTTCAATATAGTTTACATTTTTTTAAATTAACTTAGCATGTGGCTAACTTCGCTTGCCAATGAACTAGGTATTTATTATAAATTTTTATATTTGTATACGTTCATGCTTTGACAGCCTGTGTACAAAAATATGTGCTAAAAAATTTGTACAGAAGATTTGTAAAGGAAGGATGATTATGGTGAAAGAATTTGGGAATTCCACGGCCTTAAGATACTCTTTGGTCCATCAAATCCATGATTGCATAAGGCTTGAACGGTGATTGCCGTTTATACGATCAAGCAATTTATGAAATGACCATTTTTTACATATGCACATGTTTCTCGAATTTAACGAGTCTCTCAGAATACAAAACAATGAGAGTAAAATATGACCTAACTTATTATGCAATGATTTTCTCTTTCTTATTTTTAAACCCCTTTTTTATTACTATATGTTACTTTCCTTTGTAACAATCAATCAATCTTTTACCTATATATAAATTAACTAGCTTCCTCACTATTCCTCAGGTTTATGACTAAAATCATGTAGCAAAGTAAATAACAACAAATGTTGACAGACAATCTAATAGTTTTGGACCGTTTCTTTAGTTTCTTCATAAATAAAAGTTGAAAACTGATTAGCTATGATTAATGGTTGAAATCAAGTTTGAGCTATTATGTTATAAACAATACTGCTTGTACAAGAAGTTAGAAAGTGCAAAAATGATGACATACTTTTACCAAAATCTCAAACCTCATAACAAAATATAGAGAGCAAATGTGGACTAACATATATATATTTTTCTAAGCGTGAATTTTGTCAGTTACTGTATACCGGTTATCCGTCGTTAGAATAATCTCACCGACATTTCCAAGTTTGTAAAATCGGCGCTCGCGGATGCATCACGCGTCGCAGCATCATCCTCGTCACTTTAATTGCTTTACGACACAAGCGAAGACGCATGTCAGCCAGCATCCGTGGATTTATGGTCGAACCGCGCGCAGACACGCGACAATTTATGCGAGACAGAGATGAAACTGAATACGGGAACGAGTGTTCAACATTCCCTGTCTGCGGTCAGATTTATTAAACATTGAATTTCACTGTCCTGCAGGATTGGTAATGGCCATCGCAAGGAAACTATACCCCATCAATGATATACTTTACAATTGAGACGTAAACTTCTTCAGAACTGTAAATTGCAAAGAATAAATGACATATAAACATTAATTCTCAATATTATTAAAGATTAGGTAACTTAACATACATTTTTGTGGGGCATCGAGGAATTCTGGTTAGAAAATTATCAAACGTGGACCTATGTCTGCAAACGTTACTTGAGCGGTTGTATAGATGTTAAAGAGCAATGAAATAATTCATTTATACTGTACTTAGATTTGAATGCTGCTCTACGATCCAATTACATCACAAGCAACTAGTATAATCAATAGTTTTCTTCTGTTTGTTCCATCTGATCTCATAAAGGGTATCAATACGATCGAAGCTAATTAAACATTTTTACCAGGGATATTCTTCACTTGTTAAGTAGGTAGAGTTTCAAAGACTGGTCAGTTGTTCTCTATTTGTTCCATCTAAACTGAAAAGGGAATCAGTGGAATTGAATCTAATCAAACACTTTTCCAGGGGTTCCATTGTTGAGCAGCAGGCACAGTTGCAGAGTCTGGTGGGTATCAAGGCAGAGCGGTTCACGTAACCTACGAAGAACTATCTCGGAGCATAGACTTTAAGATCGAGGAGGATGAAATGTCACGAATGTCTTGAACACAATGTGCTGCGAAGGAGAGGGAAGGACAACGGGGCAGAAGACGGCCGTCGAGGAGGGAAGAAGAGAAGAAGAAAAGAAGAGAAGAAGAGAAGAAGAGAAGAATGCTGGCATCCATTGAGGAGAGCATTGCGCTCGATCCAGAAGCGAGGTGTTAATGTCACGCACTTCGAAATCAGATGGAATCTAATTCAACGAACCTTGATCTTTACTGCCTCCTTTTCTTCTCTGACCTCGCGTGAAAGAACGTTTTCTTCGTTGGATAACAGTCAACTGTGTTAACCCTTTAGTTTCCACCAGAAAAGAGGTCGTAGAACCGAACGGGGTTAACTTAAGGGAAACAGGAACTTTCAATCCTACAATCTCAGATTATGGCACAATTTGGGACATTTTTGTAATTCCTCTTTACTTAAGATATTTCCTTCTGTTACAAATTGTAAATTTATCTTCTCCACATTTCATTAATTTACTGAATACTAACAAGATTTTACTCAATATTGAATATTTAAAAAAAAAGTATTACTTACAACTGATTCCAGTAGATCATAGATAAAAATTCCAATATTATAGCAACCGCATCCAGAATTGGTTGTGAATTATTTGTAACTCAATGATACTAATTATAGTTTAATTACGGTGTGTATAGGATATTAAAAAAATGAAGAATCTTCCTTGCGCTCAGTGTCTCACGATTCTAGAACATCTCATACAATGGAAGTGAAATAATTAGTATTAAGCTTACCTCGGATCTCCTTAGTGATCGCGAAAGGACAACAACGTGCTATGATTTTTCATCGCTTGAAATTGATCATCCGTAGTCGGGAAGAACGAACGTCGCGCTATTTTGAACGTGATTACCATACAATTCCAATTCAGTAAAGTGGTAGCTAAGGCGATTGGAGACGTCAACCGAATGGGACAATTAGACGTTCTTTTATTCTTATGAAGTGGCGCGAGGAATGTGGTTTCATCTTCGCTCGGAGCTATAATAAGTTGCACACAGTGGCATCAATAAAAAGAAACAAACTGACATTTATCCATTCTACTGATTAAATCTGATCAACAAATTTTTAACTTTCAAATATAATATTTTGAAATCTTTTTAGTATGAAGTCATTCTAGATATTACAAATAAAAAAAGCACTCTAATTTCTAAAGTAGAGTAGGTACCCTATATGTATGCAGTCTGAAAAGATTCAAAGAGAAATGTTCTTTGACGAAATAGAATCTTGTACAGGGAACCTGACTTAACCACTTAAATATATCTACAGATATTCCGTAACTTCCTTTAAAGAAGTTCTAAACTTAGTACAGTCAAGTGATCTCTCCTTGTTGCACAAGTATAAATGCTCCTCTTCTTCTGTAACAGGTGTTAGAAGATCTCATAACGTGGCGAATATTTCACAATGACTTTCTCCTTTTTATGATTATTGAAAGTGGGCCAAGGGTTCTTCCCTCAACCCCTGGTAATTTAAACATCTAGTTACATTAGGCACGTCTGTCATTATTTATAATTACATGAAAGAAGCATGTGTGATTAGTAATAACTGATTACAAAACATCCTAATATAGCGAGTAAAAAGTTCCTTTTAAACCATCCTGACGGTATTGGTTTGGTGCTTCAGTGATTTCGTTATTCCAACGCAACTTTTGAAAAGGGAAATATAAAAAAGAAATTGTTCTCGATCTTCCAATTATGCAATCGTGATTACTGTAACCCTTGAAACGTAATGACGCGGAACGCACACTGTTTAAAAGTTGTGTAATTATAAATGAAGATGGTACAGACGATAATTAATTGACTGACTTTCTACGGTTTTGTACTGTGCTCCTGAGCCTTAATGATGTTATGACGCTTAATTGATTCCACAGAAAATACGTCTGCCCTTTGATCCACTGCAAAACATAAATCATTTCATGGTTATGTTTGATGCCATCTGGTTTTTATCCTATAGCGCAACGCAGTACGATAATGAATCAGCGTAAAATTTAATTTGAT